TCCTACAGACGTCTATAGTAACCATATGTGTTATGGGTTGAGTCATTAATGTGAGTTAATACTTGGACATTGATGTGATTTGTTTGTTTGTCTGTTTCGTGTTTAACCCCGCACAATATTCCAGCTATAATGACGGCGGTCTGTAAAATAATCCAGTCTGGACCAGAAAATCCAGTGATTGATATCATGAGTATCGATCCACGCAATTTGGACATGCATCAACCAAGTCAGCGAGCCTGACCACCCGATCCCGTTGGTCACTTTTTACGACACAATAGTCACCTTTTACGGCAAGCATGGGAATGCGGAATCTTCACGGTGAGCTGATGTTTATTATAGTTTTCACAAGTGATGAAAGTTTCCTACTTGTTACTATGAACGCATTATGCTATCAGTTTGAAACCAAAATCCCTTGTACACAAGACTCATTAATAGTTGTTTTATAATATTCATTAATGAGTTTATACTTGTTAAATATTCTCACAAGCCTCTTTAATGTGGAGTGATATTTAATGTGAGTTGATATTTGTAAAACAGATTCACAAGACTCACTAATTAGAATTGATGTTTCACAATAAGCATTAATACATATTGATGGTTGATACATATTATAAATGTTACAAGACTCATTAATGTGAAGATACATTTATTATAACTCTCACAGAAGTTATTAATGTAGGTTGATGTTTATCATGAATTTCAATATACTCATTTATACGGGTTGATGTTTATTATAAATTTCACAAGACTCATTTATGTGGGTTTATATTTATTTTAAATTTCATATGACTCATTTATGTGGGTTGATGTTTATTATTTAATTTCCCAAGACTTATTTATGTGGGTTGATGTTTATTATAAATTTCACAAGACTCATGAATGTGGGTTGATCTTTATTATAAATTTCACAAGACTCGTGAATGTGGGTTGATGTTTTGTTATATGATATATATCTCTCAAGTGATGAAAGTTTCCCACATGCTTCTTCGTGCTGAAATTGCAAACGACCCAGATACATTTCATAAAGTTAGTGACTTGCAATAGTGTGTCAGCCTCAGTGACACATTCAGTTGCTGGTGAACGAATGTACAATAACTCACTGTGGTAGTCTGTCAAGGTGGTGGAATCTAACGACCTGAAGCTGACATTTCTTCTCAATGAAATAGACAAAAGACAATAACAACAGCCTGAGACGCTTTTGATTTAAATATGTGTACAGTACCATTATAACTGGCGATTTTAATTTAGACAATCTTCATTATAGCAAAGTTAAAATAGATTTTCTAAAATCAATGTATGGTTTGACCAAGATCATGCTAGAATTAGACCTATTTCCTGCACTTTGATTGATTTATTGTTCGTGACAAATGTTGTTAATAACGTAAGGATGTTTTAGATCCGATTTTCAGTGACCACTGTCCACTATGCGTAGGTATTGTCCATAGACGTCAACATTATAAAAGGCAGATTTACAATTATGCCCTTGCTGATGTTGATCGTCTTAAAAACGCGTTTGCTAACAAAACAGTGGACTCTTTGTCGTCCTCGGAAACCGTACACTAATAGAAGAAGCTTTGACCTCTCTGGTTAAATATAAATGTGTGGTGAAATGGGGTTTAACGTCAGGTCCAAGATTATTACATAGCGACGTGCATGCAATTGTGTGTGTGTGTGTGTGTGTGTGTGTGTGTGTGTGTGTGTGTGTGTGTGTGTGTGTGTGTGTGTGTGTGTGTGTGTGTGTGTGTGTGTGTGTGTTCTAGTTCGGACTGATGCCAATTTTATAGTACTAGCTCACTGCGCTCACAGTTTAACATGAATACCCCACTCAGACACAGTCCTAGTTTTAGCCCCTTAATGCCGGCGCCAGGCAGGGTAACAACAAGTACCATATTTTAACGTGTTTTGGTATCGAACCCCGGACCTTCCGCTCTCCGGGCGGATGCTCTACAACTAGACCACGGAGTTGGTTAAAAACACGTGTACCAAACATATACCAAGTAAAGAAGTAACAATAAGACCTAGGGATCCGCCTTGGATGAAAAACGAGGTACACAGATTGATCAGAAAACGTAATCGTCAGCACCAGATTGTTGAAAGGCGAAACTTGCCAACCGACTGAACAAAACTTAGTTCATTAAGACATAAACGTTACTAAGGATGGTATGTTTTAACTATTGACAGAAAATGATAAATGATACACATGGAACACAACTGTGGTGGTTTGTAGTGAAACGAATTCCGAGGAGGTACGCTTTCCTCCATTGATTCCACCTATATGGACCCGACAATCCAGTGATTGACATCATAAGCATCGATCCACGCAATTGGGATACGATGACCATTTTTTGTAATTCGGGCAGTGGTTGATTATCAAAATAAACACCTTGTTGATATTGATAAAAATATAGATATTCCCTTATGTGACATTACACTTAGTTGTAAAGAGGTTGAGGGTATCTTTCTTCAGAAGACACGAACTAAAGCATCAGGGCCCGATGGGAGAGGAAACAGATTACTTAAATTAACTGCCACCAAATTAGCACCAATATTAGTAAAACTGTTTAATATGTCCCTCCAGAATTCAACCTCTCCGGTTATTTGGAAAGCAGCATCAGGTATGCCTGTCTATAAGAAAGGAATTGAATATCACTTTTCTAATTATAGACCTATAGCACTCTCAAGCTGCATAGCCAAGGTATTTGAAAAATGTATGTTTAAGTTTGTATTCAGTTACTTCAGAGATAACAATATGTTGACAAATTTACAATCTGGCTTTATGCCTGGTGATTCCACTTCATATCAATGAAGGTATGTTTAGGACTTAAGAGCACATGCTGTAGATACGGAAGGAAATTGGAGCTGTTTTGTGTGATATCAGTAAAGCTTTGATATAGTTTGGCACAAAGTAATCATACACAAATATAACTCGTGTGGCACCAAGGGGAATAATTTCAGTTGTTGAAGAGTTATTTAGAAAACAGAACGCAGAAGGTAACTATTTATGGTTACAGTTCTAATGTAAAGCCAGTGATGGTCGGTGTACCACAAGGATCAGTACTGGGGCCTTTATTATTCTTTATTTATATAAATGATATTGTGGAAGGTAGTGACAGTATTTGCAGATGACACGTCAATATATGTCATGTGGAAGACCCGACCATTGCTACAAACTACCTGAATAATGACTTAATTATAAGTAGAAGGCGGTCGGGTAGCCTAGTGGTTCAAGCATTTGCACGTCACCCCGAAGACCCGGGTTCGATTCCCGACATGGGTACAATGTGTGAAGCCCATATCTGGTGTCCCCCGCCGTGATATTGCTGGAATATTGCTAAGTGCGGCGTAAAACCACACTCACTCACTTAAGTAGAATTTCTACCCAGTCCACCCGTAAAGTAACTCCTAATCCTAAACCAGAACTAACATGAGTGACAATATCATCAAGGAAGTTCAATCCCACAAACATTTATGAATTATTCTCCAACACGACTGCTCTTGTAGTGAGCATAGTTAAAAAAGTTAGTCCTATTATAAACTGTCTGAGATGTTTTAAATATCGTTTAAATAGGAAAATATTGTAAACTATGTACACTTCTTTTATACTGCACAATGCCGAGTATTGCTGTCACATCTGTGATGCCTGTTCAAAGGAGCAGTCTCTGCTGCTTGAAAAGAAGCTTAACCTAGATGCGCTTAGGGCAATATGTAGGGCGGTTCGTGGTACTAGTCACTGCAACAATATACCGAAACAAATTGTTTACCTCTTAGTGAAAGAAGACATCAAACCAAACTTAAATACTTTTTACAAAGTGTTCAATAACCTTGCACCTAGTTATCTCTGTGATCTCGTCCCACCTAAAGTATCAGATACTAATGACTACAACCTAAGGAATAGCTCTAAATTAGAGACACTAAATTGCAGAACAGCAAGCTATGCACAATCTTGTCTTCCTACTCCAGTCAAACTCTGGAATTCCTTGCCTGCTGCATATACTGAAGCTAGTACATTGAATGCTTTTAAAAGAATGATGAAAGGTGATGAAATGCAATGCAACAAATTTGATTTAAATTATGGTTCTAGGTTCAACCAAAGTGTGCACTGTCACCTGAGACCTGGGTGTAGTGACTTCTGTGCTAATGTTTATATGAGCTTATCCAAATTGTTCTTGTGGCTACCACCATGAAGATGCACTTCACAATTTCTACACCGGCATAAGTAGAAACTTGTATCTTTACTCTAAAGGTAATAATGTTAACTCTATTCTTTATGGATAAGCAAATGTTACAGTAAAGATTAATTTAGAAAATTTAATACTAATACCTGTTCATAATTTCATATCAGCCTTTGGCAGATATCCCATTTTGTTCCCAGTGCAAACTATTGATTAATCTCAAATGTATCTGATTTTTGCTTACAGCGTTTGACTTCAGCATGTTCAGAGTCGACAACTGTGTTTTTATACAATATAATTACCTTATTATTAACCTTGACTGTACAGTATAATTTATTTCATTTGTATGACAACTGGAATGGTATTGGCATACGTCTTTACTTGTTTACCAATCCAGCTTCACAAATTATAAATACGTTTAAAACATATGTTTTACAAACATATTTAGGCAGCACATCCATGTACTTGTGTCCATAGCGGGTACAGGAAACTAAACACCAACAGCAGTTCTGCACTAAATGGTACTTACTTGAAAATATCTGTGGACAAATTCATTTATAAGTAATGATGTTAAACAAACAGAACTATATATTGCAAAAGAACGTGGTCAATTTTAACTACTTGGTGGATCTACATTAAAAAAAACATGAAAATCTTACACAATATTATCCAATGACAGCTGCAAGCTTCTTCACTGCGAGCTTCATCTATACGAAGGCTGCTGGCCACACAACTGATTCGGATTTAGCTCAGTGGAGCCTGAAAGCGACACTCCTGCCCATTGTGACCATCAGATCCCCATTTTGAATAAACAACATAAGCATCAAACACATTTGCAGGAATGTTTTACTGAGCGCCAACATGTTATATAGTATGCTTAGACATAAGTTGAAGTGCATAAATACATGTGTAAAATGAAGCTAAGCTTTATGATACAACATGAGACATTAGTAATAAAATAGAGATTTACCCTTCAACCACAAGCAGACAAAACAATAATAATATATCAATACGTAAAACATAAACAAATAAACAAATGAAGAAGAAAAAAAATGCACGTGAAACAGAAACAAAATTAAATCCAGTTGTGAAAGCTAGATTTAGATGTCAAATTGATTTGTTAATATTTCTTAAAAAAATGTATTCTATTTTATTAGGCAAGTCATAATTCTGACTCTTGTAAATGTTACACTAAAACTCCTTAAAGGTATGGAAATAGAAATCACATGCATATTTATTCATGTATTTGTCATGACATTTATATATGGAATTGTGTTACTTAAATGTCTATAATCTCCTCTAAAGTCAACAACACTCTTCCGGTGGATGTCTGATGTATTTAGTTAAAGTCGGTTGCCTAGTAACAGAATATACTTGAACTGCCTGATATGGCTTGATTTAATAAATGGTCTGTTCTGTTACAATTGAATGGATTTGTTTTCCGAAATAAAATCATCATCCTATTGATTACAAAGCAATACGACTGTTATTTTATTCTAAAAGATGTATTGTCAAAAAACAGTCTTCACATTAAATATACATTACAGGTTTGTCTGCAGTGTTACGGGGCATCCGAATGGTACAACAAAACACATTTTGAGCATATGTAGTAAAATATCAATAAATAGAACATGTAATGAGCACTTTTTATGAAGACAAGAAAGATGAGCTGACAGCAGTAATACTGATACGCTTAGATAAAATTACATTTTTTGTGTTTTGAAAAATATAAGGAATCTCAAGACAATATTATCTACAAAAGATGGTTTAGGCTTGAAAGGGTTGTCTCCCTTTGATCCGAAATTACTTTTCGTCTAGAATTTTTTTACTTCTAATTATTCGTGAGCGGTCTGTGTCTTGTTTTGTATAAATGCAAAACATGAGCAAAATAACTTGAGAAAAGTAAAACGAAACAGATATAAAAAGTATCCAAAAGGAGCTCAAAACCGGACCATCATTTCAACATGAACTTGTAAAATAATTGCGTCCCAAGTTTACAATATTTGTAAATTTATGAACAGATACAGCTGAAATAGAACCAAGTGCAAAATGTACAAAATAATACCCAAGACAAAAGATATTTTCTCAGCTGAATGTCAACACTCAAATGAAGAAAGTCGTGACGGACTCCATCCTCGTAACTCAGGGCTATATGTTCCACATACAGGTTCGATCATTTTGTGAACTGTGACGTCACTTTCACTATCTGTAAAACTAAACCGACGTGGCTCTATTTATACCCGACATTTCAAAACAATATTACTAATTGGGATACCAACAATTGACCTCGCATTCATTTGGGGAATAGAACCTTGGTCTTTTGAACGACGAGCGAACGCTTTGCAACATGGCTTCACCACCATCCTTTACCTACTTAAACGGGATCATCTCATTACAAGCAACATTTATAATTCTAATTTTATGTAGGTTGTTGCATTTTAAATATCGGGGAAATTGTAAAAAATGTACAAAATCAATACTCCACTATATACGATTCTGATTTGCTTGAACAAGTCGTTCGGTAAACGGAAATCGTCTGAAGGTTAACTATGGCTGCCTCTCAAGTTCGTGTTTGGAGCTCAATTCAAAATAATACCCCTGTGTTACGAGGATGATCCAAAACGTGAAGTAGTCTGGTTAACTTAAAGGCTGTTTAATAAGGACGAACACGATATAGGCTTAACCCGCCAACCGGTGAAACAAATAGTGTATCTCAGCCAAAATCTAAAGTACTTAAATGCAATATTTGAATCTAGACATACTATGTCTTTGCTTCGCGGAAAACGACAAAGGACCTATGTTGTATTTTTTCATATTACACTGAAATCAAGAGAACACTTGTATGCATTCACACACATAAATACGCGTAAGTGCCCTCTGGTTAAAGATACACACATATTTGTCTCATCAGATTGTAGTCAACAGCCCTAATTGTACCACTATACAACTAAATATGAACAATAATTATTTAACATGCTAAATATGAATTGTACGTAATTAGACAATATACTATATATATGCTAGCCTAGCATGACTATATTTATTAACCGTATGTTATTTGTCAAATAATAAATAAACAGCTTAAATGTTTGACATTTGGATGCGCGCGCACATTGATCAGATGACGTCCTCTTTTCCGTCGGGGCCCTTCATGACTTTCTTGATGAACTCTGCCAAGACAAAAACATGGCTGAAAGATACCGAAGTCGTTGTTGTTTCCAATTGTTACATTTGTGTTGCATGTTCGTGACTCGTCGGGGGTTTCCGTGAGAAACACTTCGAAAAGACACGTTAACACTTCCGGAAAACCCCGAATAATTCCGACTATAAACGTGGTCAATAATCAGATCATTCTTCACCACTCTCATCTTTGGGTACCATTCGTGACCAACTCGTCCAATTCCGGGACAAGCTTTGTAGGTTACGGAAACATACGAGTGGTGACAAATGCTTTCGGTACCCGGCCTCGCTTGACTCGGAATTACACGAGTTGGTCACGAATGCAATCAGTTCAAGGCACCCTTTCCGAAAGTCTAGTTAGCTCATTAATGTTGATGGTAAAGGTATGACTGTCGAAACCCATCGTTTGTGGATCGGCCACCAAGTTGGGAAGCTTCACGTCAATAACCTCAAAAACATTCAGTTGCTAAATGTACTTATTAAACATGGAATTTACGATGACATGAATTATTGTATGTAAAAGTTTGACGAGTGGCATTATATATCATCTGGATGTAAATGCACTGCTGTCGAAAACAAGGAGAAGTAAACGTATTTTGCTTTCGTAAGGCAGTGGCTTTGCGTCCCAAAAAATACTCTAAAAGACGTCTCCATCTCAGACTACGTGCGTGAGCTTTGTTTAACGCCGCTGATAACAGTATTCGAGTAATCTCACGGCGTGGCAGCTAAATGTGGGAGGAAAGCCCGAAGTGATGCAGGTACCGGGCGTTTTACCACTAGTGAAACCCACGAGCAATGGTATGACGATAACAAACCTAAAAACAGAACCCTAGATCATAAGTTGCTGGCACGCCTAAGGGACGCAACTCTTCACAGCCCTTCGCCGCGCATTCGACGACAGGGTCACCCATACCCCTACTTAAAGTAAGCATAACCATGTTAGGAAACACCCCATCTTGTATTGAATGTACGCTCAGCGGACAATTCCAGTCTGTGCCTGCTGTATTGTTTGTGAAACCTGCAACATGTTGGTCTAAGATCAATAACACTGAGTATTCATTGCAATATGAGCGAGTGTTAGCTCCGCCGATTCAGCAATCGCAAATTTAATACTAGTGCCAAAATATAAGCAGATAAAACTTATTTTGAGTGATGTTGATGCGAGGATCTGTTCAAGAAAGATTTATGTAAAACTATATTTACGGAATTATATATTTGAAGAGAGAAAGTTATGAAATTTGGACTCAAAGTAAAAACTTGATTGTATATATCTTCACGTTATTAGCTCGGACATGTTCAGAATGGTTCTAGTGTATGCTTATCTGTCATAGACGTAATACTGCTCCACGGTGACAAACATTTTATGCCCAAAACGCTGTTAATGAACGGATATAACAACCCAACATCATCTACGACTCCGCCGATACGTTGCATCCGCTGAAGCATTTACAGGTTGATGGGTGTGAATTCTATCAAATGTGTCTCTGTGTAGTTAAACGGGACTCAATGATCTGGTGCTCATTGGCAGTTTTTGCCTCGGTGAAACGTCAACATCGTTACGTCAATGTAATCATTAATTGCTTGATTGACTTACATAATAATTGGAACATATACGAACAATTCCGTGTAAATAAGATGCAAGGTCTGTCCATTGACCAGAGGCTATACACCCTTTAAATAGACACACCGCGTGATCGAATAACGATTTGTTCATTGGGCATTATGTGTTCCTTAATGACCAATCACAGATCATGTTGCAATCCATGTTTAATAGGGGCTAGGTGGCCCAATCGTCGAAGGCACCGTAAATCGGTGTGTAGAGTTGCGTCCTGTGAATTGCCGGTTCGAATCCCGGTTCGTCCCGATTATGTTTCTAGGTTTGTCAGCACCATACCCTGCTCGTAGGTATTCCTCACAGTGGTAAACGTCTGAGACCTGCATCACTTCGGGTTTTCCTCCCACATTAAGCTGACAAGGAATGATACAACTGGAATACTGTTAAAAGCGGTGTTAAACCCTCACTCACTCATTTTGAATAAATATGGAGAAGTCGGAAACCTTCGAGTTAAACGAACATGATACAGCAATTAGTAGTACGAACATCGTTATTCCGTAACCCCGTTAATCCGGGCCAGTTTCCATTTTATTTTGGATTAACGAGTTTGTTTAAACATGATATGTTTATAAAAGTTATAGAAACTGTGGTAAATGAAAAAAATGCCAAAATAACGAACAGTTTTAAGTATTAATGTAAATAAAAATATAATATTGTTCATCTTATTGCCACCAAATATCCTTCATGCAACACTGACCTTCGTATTTCAGATTCCCCTCAATGTCTTCTCGAGTATCCGTAAGTTTGAGGATTTCACTGACAGATTCATCGGGTAATCGCTCACCTGTAACAGAATGCCTAAGGCGTCATAAAAAAATAACTGTTTCTCGGGCACACACAGAGGAGAGAGTTAGGACCTTTCATCATATTTTATTTCTTAAAAAAAGTAATGAGGGAGGAACACTTTTTATGTTTTTATGAGTTTTGTCTCACCACGAACACCAAACACAAAAATGAGCACACACTGAATTCGGCTATTTAATATCATGACTACCCGTGAAGATCCGGCTTAGAATATGGTTCAGCAACCCAAGCTTGCCGTGAAAGGCGACCGTAAAAGGCGACTATGCCTGTCGTAAGAGGAGACCGGGTGGTCAGGCTCACTGACTTGGCTGATCATGCATGCATGTCTCTGTCTCTGTCCCTCTGTCCCCCCCCCCCCCCCCCCCCCCCCCTCTCTCTCTCTCTCTCTCTCTCTCTCTCTCTCTCTCTCTCGCTCTCTCTGTCTCTCTCTCTGTCTGTCTCTCTCTCTGTCTGTCTGTCTCTCTCTCTGTGTCTGTCTCTCTCTCTGTCTGTCTCTCTCTCTCTCTGTCTCTCTCTGTGTCTGTCTCTGTCTCTGTCTCTCTCTCTGTCTCTCTCTCTTTCTCTCTCTGTCTGTCTCTCTCTCTCTGTCTCTCTCTCTCTGTCTGTCTCTCTCTCTCTGTCTGTCTCTCTCTCTGTCTGTCTCTCTCTCTCTGTCTGTCTCTCTCTCTGTCTGTCTCTCTCTCTCTGTGTGTGTCTCTGTGTGTCTCTCTCTCTGTGTCTCTGTGTGTCTCTCTCTGTCTCTGTCTCTCTGTCTCTGTCGCTCTCTCTGTCTGTCTCTCTGTCTCTGTCTCTCTGTGTCTCTGTGTGTCTCTCTCTCTCCCTCTCTCTCTCTGTCTCTGTGTCTCTCTCTCTCCCTCTCTCTCTCTGTGTCTCTGTGTGTCTCTCTCTGTCTCTGTCTCTCTGTCTCTGTCGCTCTCTCTGTCTGTCTCTCTGTCTCTGTCTCTCTGTGTGTCTCTGTCTCTATCTCTGTCTCTCTGTCTCTGTCTCTCTCTCTCCCTCTCTCTCTCTCTCCCTCTCTCTCTCTCTCTCTCTCTCTCCTACACACGCATTCACTCACTCACTCACTCACTCACCCACCCACTCACTCACCCATAGCTGTGAGCATGTTGTTCATTTCAGCGAGGGATATATAGCCTTGACCCTCCCTGTCGAAAGACTTGAACGCCTCCACGTAAGCGCGATACGTCCCCTTCTCTTTCTCGTTTTTGGCCTGCTTAAAGATGGAGAGCACCTCCTCGAAAGCATACTGTTTCTCTCCTGGAAGAAAAAGTAATTGGTGAATATTGCATCCTCGCTTATCCCGTGTATTATATTCCAGAATGATGCTCACCCTGGACCCATACGCTAACACAGAATCAGGTGGAGCTCCAATAGAATGACACGTCAGAATTTAAAACTATGATCGACTCTGTATGTGTCTCTCCTGGGACAGATAAACAAAGGTATATGCGTTAAATAAATGTGTGGAAAATTTTCATCCATCTAAATTAACTGCTTAAAACACACAGCATGCATCGAATATATCTTCATTCACATACATAACATTGGTTTATTGATTACTAGAGGAAAGGCCTTTCCTTGACTTGGTGAAAAACTAAAATGAAAAGACAGTTTGTTAAGTGTATTCCAAAAGGTCTTATACGTTAGCATGGTTGCATCTTCGTTAACCAAGTCTCGTCGGTTTTGCAGTGTAGCTTATCGTATGAAGCGAACGTATAATCATTACCGTCGCTCACATATTATAACCCCTCCAACGCCTGCAAAAAGTGAGATTTGGTGAAATAGGGTTTAAATAGCGGCTTGCATGTATGACAGTGTTCGAAATACCTGCCTGCCCGACCGTCCGAGACGGGTTGATTTCAACTCGGGCTGCCAGATTTTCAAATCCCCCTGCCCGACGGTCGGGTTATATTTCATATGTGAAAATATTCAAAATATTTCCCGATGATAAGCATTAATTCACATGTAAAGATGAATGATAAAATGTAACCAAAAAGAAACCCCGTTAGCTTATCCTGAGAAACATATGATTATAGTGGGCAGGCAGGTTTTGGTCAGGGCTGGCAAGTATTTCAGCTAGCCAGTCCTGTGGTCTGGCTGAAATTTTTGGGAGTTTCATACCCTGATGTATGCGCAGGTACGTGTTTGCGTGTGTTTTTGTTTGTGCTTGTTTGTCCGGAGTAATGCTAATTTTATAAGTACTACCCAACAGAGATACCATGCTGCAGTTTAGCATGGGTACCCCACTCAGACACAGTATACTGACACCGAGCGACAATGTAAGGTATGTCATTAGATGTGTCATTTTGTTAAGTCAGCAATTACTGTGTATTCATGATCGTAGACAGTGTTTATCACGCTCTCCTCCTGTTGCTCTGATTCAGAGATTTTACTTCCTTGTTTAATCCCCTTTATGCCGAGCGCAAGGTAACAACAAGTGCCATCTTTTAACTTCAGGGGATCGAACCACCGATTTTCCGTTCTCTGGGCAGAGGCTATATCCACTACACCAAGGGACGGTCTGAATATGGAATAGAGTAGGTCCATAGTAAACCATGCTTGTCGCACCGCCCATGACCACAAAGGATTCCTTGTGTGTGTTTTTCACTTTTGGCAACAGACCCGTGAAGATCCGGAGTAGAATATATAGGTCTTCAGCAACCTATGCTTGCTGTAAAAGGCGACTATGATTGTGGTAAGAGGCGACTAACGGGATCGGGTGGTCAGGCTCGCTGACTTTGAGGCATGTCATCGTATCCCAATTGCATGGGTCGATGCTCATGACGTCAATCACTGGATTGTCTGTCATAAAGCTGGATTGCTGAGTGCGGCGTTAAACAAAAACATAAACAACAAACAAAACTTCTGACTACAAAGGGAGATAAACTCCCTCGTTTCTTGGAATACATACTGGGTAGCGTATCCTGGCAGAGTATATCGATTCTCACACCAACAGTGGTTTGTTTGTTCCAAGCTCGATTATATTTCACAGACCATCGCGATCACATGTCTATCGTGATATTCCTGAATATGGCATGCGTAACTATAGGTTACGCTTTCGTTGATATTCAATCATAGTAGCGTTCGCTCGTAACGCAAAGACTAGGGTTCGATTCCCGACATGGGTACAATGTGTGAAGCCCATTTGTGGTGTCCCCCGCCGTGATATTGCTGGAATATTGCTAAAAGCGGCGTAAAGCCATACTCACTCACTCACTCAATCATAGTAACAAATGTTCTGAATATTTATTTACAACAAATGATAACATAGAACAGTTCTGTCTAAAGCAAACATTAATTTTCCATCTTTTCACAATATAAGGTATTCAATTAGATGTGAGCGTCACTTTGTAAGGGGCGGTCGGGTAGCATAGTGGTTAAAGCGTTCGCTCGTCACGTCGAAGACCCAGGTTCGATTCCCGACATGGGTACAATGTGTGAAGCCCATTTCTGGAGTCCCCCGCCGTGATATTGCTGGAATATTGCTAAAGGCGGCGTAAAACAATACTCAGTCAGTCAGCCAGTCATTTTGTTAAGTCAGCAATTACTGTGAATTCATGATCGTAAACAGTGTTAATCACGCCACCCTCCTGTTGTCTCGATACACAGATTTTACGAACGCCTCTCTCATTTACGAGCGAGTGCGGTTTCACTTCATATTCGGTTCTTTACGTTACTTCAATACGTTTCCACTCATCGAATTTTTTGACAGGCCGTCAACGTTTTGGTGGGAATTGTTTTGCCAAGATTGATGCTGCTGAGGTAGAATCTTTTGTTCTTGTAAAATGTATTTTGTGTTGTAATTTTGAGAAGGTGGCGTCCGTAGCCAAAATATTTCGCTCATTTTGTTGTTATGTCTCCATGCACTTCCGGTTGGTAAGGAGTAAATGTTTTTTTGTATTCTGATTGACTAAATTACGCCAAAGTCCATCAAAGTTTGATGAGAAATATGATCAGTTTATATTCGATCAAGGTCCGTCAAAAATATTTTTAAGTTATTTGTCAAAAAAGACATTGGCCAAGTTTGTTGTTTTTTTATCAAAGTTTTTGATAATGTAACATGAGTTATCTCACCTGTTGCCTTGGTGCCTCCAAGCTTCTCCGACTGTGCTAACGTAGGGTTGAGGCCCATGCACCGGAGAAGATCCCCAACCTTGATCGCATCGATCAGACCATCACGGCCGTCCCAGAAATCGAACAGATCGAATACCTCTCTAACATCTGAAAATAGAACCAGTGAATGAGTAAAGGGAGGCAAAACACGCATGATTTAGGCGTGCTGGTGTAGGCTGAATGTTATACAAAAGAGCTCGGGAAATACAAGTGTTCTGACACTCGTTTCGTAAAACCAGTATGACACACATGCTCGTACAATCTCTATTATTTTGGTCCATGTTCATTTTAGCGATCTCAATGCTGATTCGTCAGTTAAAGACCAATGACGTCATTTTATTGTTGACAAATTGATTAAATTTGTTATAATCAGCTGCCTTTAGAGAAGTTCCTCTGTGGGGCTGACATTTCATGACGTCTTTTTCATTTTCTCTCTTAAAATGTCTGTGAGTAAGATATAGAATATCTACTCGAAACTCGGGATTACGGATTAGCAGTCCCTCGTGAATGGATGCTGTACCTCGACAAGTGCTCGGGATTAACATCATTCGTTCACTCGGGACAGATAATCCGTCTTTCCTCGCATTTTGTTGGTTGTTCTCTAATTACTTTCTAATCGGTTGTCTGAGGTACAGTGTTCCAGCCATAGCACTGCGTGTCAAGTGGTGTCATCACGAGTATTATGCCAACTGTGTGTTTGTTTGTTTGTTTGTTGACATGCATCAACCCTTTCAGCGAGTCTGACCACCCGATCCCGTTAGTCGACTCTTACGACAAGCATGGGTTTCTGTAGACCAATGCTAACCCGGATCTTCACGGACGGCTGCCAACTAACCAAGGATACTAACTTGAGCGAATCTGGATTGGAACCCACGTCAAGGGGATCCTGACAACTAAGGCACACAACCAAGAGTCTCCCACCACAAGACCACCCATGATCTAAGTGTGTTACTGAACCTACAGCGGGAAAGCGCATGATTTATTCATTGAGCAAATGTGAAATATCCTTCAAGAGACTCTAAGTGTTCTTCAAACAAAGACACTATCAAAGAAAGGTTGGCTAATGTGGTCGTTAATTGCTACAAAAAAAAACAAATCAATCAAGTATTTTTTATAGGAAATCTCTTGTTCTTTTCAAGTACACGTATAAGGCTGTTTGCCAGCGAGATTGCGCTTATCCTAAATCAAGCACGACAAAGTACAGAAATATATTATCCGCGAAGTATAGGGCATTGCAGTCGTTTTTCTGAATACTCAAAGGATCCAATTGGATTCCAGGGCAGAACGGGTCAGCAGTATGATATGCTGTGTGTTCGAGAGAAAAAGGAATAGAGCTGAATTATTGTGTGATCTGTTGTGTTGCAGACGACGACTTTGAAATGTTGACGATGGTAACCAACCGTTTTGCTTCGTCCAGGATTGATTTCTTAGGGACCGACCATTGGTGTGAGGGGGGATTTAACAGCTATAAAAAACAGATATTGTTTTTAGGAAAACCATTTTGCAACAATGTAAATATTGTGGCAGGTATATTCTGAAGCATAATTATTTTAAGTTTCGGGAACAAATTATTGTTTACATCATTTCAGCATTATGTGGGGGGAAATTTCAATGGTTCAAATCTTAGACGTTTACCATGTTGTAAAACCAACCAACTTGGCTTTGATGCTTTGATGCGCACGAAAGTGGCCCAGTCGTTTAAGGCGCCGCGATTCGCTGTGCAGAGTTGCGTCCCTTGGGTACGCCAGAAACCTATGATTGTGGGTTCGAATCCCGGTTCGTCCCGATTATGTTTCTAGGTTGTCAGCTCCATACCCGTGCTCGTGGGTTTCACCGAAGTGGTAAACGTCTGAGACCTGCATCACTTCGGGCTTTCCTCCCACATTAAGCTGGCACGCCGTGATATGACTGGAATACTGTTAAAAGCGGCGTTAAACAAGACTCACTCACTCACTCACTGCACAGTATATTGCAGTGTTTCCATACCCTCAATTATTTTTTCTGAGTTTGTTATGTATTTATCCCCTGAAACATTCCTGCAATACCACGGGGGGATACGGACAAAATGTACCAATTTTATGGCTTGAAAGCAGGTTATCGGCGAGACGAGCAAACGCTTTAACCACAACACGACTACACACTCTTCTACACAGACGTTCTAGGTGGGCTGATGAGTATCAAATATATGTTACACAGTTCAATCAAATGTTCAAAATCGTGTTTTTTTCACGATGAAGAGCGGTTATCGTGTCCGGGGTGTTCGACGCAGCTTTCAAAGAGATCCCGGAATTTGGTCGCGATGTGATTTGGCATCGCTAATATTCGGTACGGTGATAAGAAAATATTTTAAATGAAAAACGTCTCAAGCAGCCGGTTGGCAACTAACCAAATGTGCTGCCTTTTTACAGGGAAGCTCAAATTTGTGTAGCTGTTTACAACGGAGGAACCTTGAGATGAAGTTTATGGCCTGCCGGCTGACTTTGTATAGCATATACCATACTGTTTTGTAATACGTTTATACACACACACAGATGACCTAGGCTCTGCTGTGACCTCGCTTGTTTAAGGTAGCAATGCTCAATCAAAACGTCCATATGTTTCCTATTCTCTATCCGTCCAGACCTTGACCAACATTATTTTCCGAGGTAACTATAAATTATGTGGGTGTTTCCTGAAAGACTGGAATCTATGTAATAATGGACACGTTTTCATAACGTATCGTTATCAATTAATTAATTAATGTGCACAGGTGGTCCAGTCGTCTAAGGCGCCACAATTCGCTGTGCAAAGTTGCGTCCCTTGGGCACGCCAGAAACCTATGATTGTGGGTTCGAATCCCGGTTCGCCCCGATTATGTTTCTAGGTTTGTCAGCACCATCCCCGTGCTCGTGGGTTTCACCGAAGTGGTAAACGTCTAAGACCTGCATCACTTCGGGCTTTCCTCCCACATTAAGCTGACACGCCGTGATATAACTGGAATAATGTTAAAAACGGCGTTAAACACAACTCACTCAAGGGATAAACGTTTACATTATTACGGTGTTTCCTCCCACATCAAGCTGAAATAAATGAAGGTTGGGTGATGTGAGGTGAGGTGTAATGGGCTTAACGTCGCGTTCGAGATTATTGCACTTATATAGCGACGTGCATGCACGTATGTGTGTGTATGGCTGCTTGTACTAGTCCGGACTGATGTCCATTTCATAGTGCTAGCCCACTGAGATATCATGCCCCAGTTTAACTTGAATACCCCGTTCAGACACACTTATACTGACTCCGAGCCGACCAGTACTTGTTATAGCCCCTGATGCCGAGCGCCAGGCAAGGTAACAACAAGTACCATCTTTTAACGGGTTTTTTGGTATGACGCGGCCGGGGATCGAACCCCCGACCTTCCGCTCTCCGGGCAGACACTCTACCACTAGACCACGGAAGCGGACCTGGAATAACTCTCTCAACTACTCATATTTGAGGCCGTTCACTGTATTTGCTACAAAATAGCATTTTAACATGAGGACGGAACCAAGCCAGTATTGTTCACGAATCACCTACGTTTAACTGTCTGTATCAGGTGACAATAGTTTGATAGTTATTCCATTAAGGGTCCTGCCACTCTTCCAACACAGCAATGGCGCATGTGGTATAAGTTGACTACATTTTTCGCTATGCTCCTTTGCGCTGAGACGGAACCCGGTTGAAATGGGCCTGAGGTGTCAGACACACCAAATGAGAATCAGTCGTATGAAGATTGAGAAATCTTGCAGCTGTGATTGGATGGTTTTGCGGAATGTTTTGAAATTCTTTAAATGTACATATACCCAGTAATTAAAAAGAATCATGTTTTTCTATATTTAGTGCTGTCTTTTTTAACATGACTAATGCTAAATGTGACCACAGATATTTTCAAGCTGGTGACATTCGGTGCGGAACTGGGCTTGGTTCATTTAGCTTCCTGTAGTCGGAAAACGAACGGGCCAAGCAGCCATTTTAAATTTGTATTGTTACTTTTTAGGCTAGACTATGCACTGATGTACATGTAACAACTGTTGAATGCCTAGTTATTTAAAGAAGAAATTATAACATCACTATAAAAAGTATATGGGACGGAACGGAGTCACCATTTCTTGTCCTGGAATACCACTAAAAATAATCGGCTTGTCCCGGAATAACCCGAGTTGGTCACGAATGATGACACCATGTCAAAGTATGGTATGGTCCAACTCTTGGAATGACATAATAACGAACAGAAGAACACAAGAATCGGTTCGGAGTTAAATATATGTCTACCAAGACGATATAAGCACTGTTTAACCAGTTGCATAAATCATGCAGAATTAGTAGTGTGAGAGGGTGCGTGAGTATGGGTTTATGCCTCCCTTTGCAATATTCCAACAATATCACTGCGGGGGGACACCAGAAATGGACTTCACACATTTTAACCATGTGGGGAATGGAACTGGGGCCTTCGACGTGACGAACGAACGCCTTAACCACTAGGCTATCCTACCGCCCCTTACAGAATCAGTAACAAAATTCTTAACATCTACGCTGGATAAATATACCAAGTATAAAAACAACCAAAAAACACTCTAAGAAAATCTGAAGATACGAAAATAATTTGCAAAATTGAATTCATATAATTATCATCATCATCTCGCTTTTATTCTCACTTGACAAAATATTTAAGAAAACTGCTGAATCTTCAAAATATGCAGAAGCACATAACACCGAAATAACCTACAGCTTGCAATGAACACGTCAGTCTCATTGAATTAATTCATAAACAATGCGCACGTGACGCGACGCACGTGTTGTAGATTGTATAGCAGAACACGCGGCTACCTGTCTCGCAGATCTACGGAAGATGTAAACAGTTAGGAAACGGGAATCACGGACGTTGCTAGTTTCAGACATGCAAATAAACAAACAAGCATCGGGTGTTGTTCGCACGATCCTTTGACTGCTATCTTAATTGAATATAACTGAAATTACGTGTCAAGTGTCAGAATTCTTTGTTGGAAGGAATCTGCGAGTAAAACGTCTCGTGCCAATTTTTTTCATTATCAAAAATTTCTTTGTTGTTCTGGCGAGAGCATTTAGCGAAATGT